GTCAGACTAAGTCCTAATGATAGAACTTATGGAACAATTACAGCGGAAGAAATTAAAGGAGCCGAACTAACTCTTTTGAGATTAGTGCACAGCAAATCATTTTCTGGATTAGATGACAAAAGATTACGTATACTTCAACCAATGATTGATTCTAACAGAATCCTTAGGGTTAAAACCAGAATTCTGAGAAGAGATGATGCAGAAAATTTTCGAGTTTCTATTATTCTTCCTTCAGATCATCCTATTGTAGTAAAATTAATTAGAGCTAAACATGAAATGAACAATCATGCAGGAGTACAATTTTTAATATCTGCTTTATGAGAACAATATTGGATTTTGAAAACACGAAAGACTGTCAAGAAAGTCATAAGAAGCCGTGTTGTATATCAAAGGTTCGATACTAATTCTTCTAAAACACCCATCGCTGCTCTCCCTGCAGACCAAATAAGAGAAGCAGCAGTCTTCGCGATTGTAGGTGTTGACTTGACCATTGATCCTGAAGGGAAATCATAAATCGTGAATAATTTTTGTGTGTGCTGTTTTTCGCGCAGTACATTTGGAATTGATTTTCTCGCTATCAACTGAAAGTTTTCTGCAAGCACCGAGACGTTTCATTGCTAGACGTGGAAGACCCCACACCATCTATTCCGACAATGGAACGAATTTCAAAGGAAGTGATAGATTATTCAAAAGCTTAAATTGGGATAAAATCTTAGAATAAGCTAGTATCCACAGAATTACATGGAAATTTCTTCCGCCATCAGCTCCCTGGTAGGGAGGATGGTGTGAGCGATTAATAGGAGTCCTGAAAAGAATCCTTCGCAAAGTTTTAGGACGATCATCTCTGAATCATGAAGAAATTATAACAATTTTGTGTGACTGTGAAGCAATAACGAATAATCGTCCATTGACATATGTCTCGGAAGATGTTGAAGATTTATCTCCGATCACACCTTCCATGTTTCTCCATGAGATTCGAACACATTGGAGTTCCTGATCTGGATAATATAAATGCGAAATCTTTAAACAAAAGGCTTATTTATCAACAAAAACTTTTACAAGATCTAAGTAAAAGATTTCGAATCGAATATCTCGGACAGTTACAGCAAAATTATGAACATGTAAAAGCTTCACAACCTCTGAAAAATAGGAGATCTTGTTTTAGTGTCCGATGATAATAAGAAGCGAACAGACTGGATTATTGGCGAAAGTAACCGAGGATTTTCAAATCTCGGGAATGGACATGTGCGTTTAGTTAAGGTCAAGACTAAGCTTGGAGAAGTTTTGCGACCAACCAAGTGTTTGTATCCTTTGGAGATAACATCATCAGATGAACAGTCTAGATTTAGAAATGTGGCAAGCAGCTCTTCTGGTGAACCAGAGACTTACTGCGATCCTGATATTCGTAATGACTTGCCTCAAGATCTTAATAGCGAAAAGATTCCATCGATGATTACAAGAACTGGTCGAATGGTAAAGCCTGTTCAAATGTTACAGTTTTAAATTTGATTTTTCAGCAAATTTAAAGCTGGGAGTATGTTGAAACTCTCACCGACAACCACGTGATTTGCGCATGTGTGCAGCAAAAACTAAAACATTAAACTAAAACTTTTTTAACTGAACTTTGAGAACTCGTGATGGACGTTTGAGTGAAACATGTAATCCTACTCTTCTGTGTTATATACTATATATTTTAGTTTAGTGATGTGATTGTAAATTAAATATCTTATTATCTTAGAAGCCTCTCTCTTTCTGTGAGTAGTGCATCGATGAATGAAATAAACACTCCCGGATATGCCTTTGGATTAGAAAGAAGATCGACTAAAAGGTAAGCCTTTTTACCTTTTATATTCTAAGAAATTATTAGAATTATACAGATGTAATCCTACTGCAATAACTGTGCAGTTTCGGCATTATTTTGATAGAAAACCACTCTCCCCCAAGAGACGAATCTAAGAGTCTTCTTTTTTTCTGTTCTACCAAACAATTTTAGATGACTTCTGGCTCGCCAGTATTTTGAGAGCCCTCTTTCCGTACAGACAGGTGACGGGTGACGGAAGACGGGGACGCCTGGCGTATAACATAGGTAAACAGGCATATGTCCAACGTCCTCCACCATCTCGAAGAAACAACTCGCTGGAGCCCCGTGAGGCTGCAGCGGGTGTTTCCATGGCCATACAGGGCTAGATGTCTTCCTTGTAGACACTACAGACACTGATAAACATCCATTCTTTCTCAAGAATTCGACCAGAACCACATATACGGCGGACAGTATCGATAACTACTATACCGATGAAGGCGACTAGTCAGCTCAACAGAGGAACCAGAAGTTAATGTACGTCACAGCGATCTGCTGGAATTATATTTCAACAGGAAAAAGGCTGTCGCGTATGTCGTATGCAAAGTTCAATAATTCCTCTGTGATTCTAATTTACCAATTTCTTTCAGCCTGAATGATCAACTAATTAGTTTCTATTAAGCACGTGCCAGTTGTAATTGCTGAAATATTAGCCTGTATGTCAGCATTTGTAGGTAATACTGCTGCATAGTGAATGCGTATTCAGTCTACAGGGAATGATTTCCCCATACATCCATTCCGGATATCTGTCAGTCAATGCCATGTCATGTGTAATGTATTACATTTAGTTAAATATATAAAAAAACATACAAAATACTGAATTCAGACCACTCTTTTTGATATAGAGATTTAGGATTTCAATTCCATTGTATGTTATTTATACCATAAATATTTCGTGGCCTTAGATTCGCGTGCTGTAGTTTAACTATACAGCAGTGTGTGCTTTAGCTTTTTATAACCATCTGCAATTGATGTATAATTTTTGGTTTCTGTTTATCAGTGCGAAAAATTCATATGACAGCCCTTCTTTTCCCCAAAAAATAATTAACAATTTTGCATTTCGAAGAACTGTAGTTTTCGATAAATCTCTCTCCTAAAAAAACTTTTGAATAAATGATACATACTTGTGTATATTTCTAGAAAATATATTCTTAACTTTCAGTATTCTATAATTTTATATATATGTTTAATTAGTTCTGAAAAAGTAAAAAAAAAAAATAGGTTGGGAATCTGATAAATTCCCGTTTGGCTGAAAAATCGTCCCCCTGGGCTGAAAAATTTCCGTTTTCTCTGTTGACAACAAAATACAGGCAGCTTCTGCAGAGAAAATTGTTTAAAATAATGAGCTTTTCTCAGTTAATTCCATTTCTTTGCTAAAAGGGCAGTTTAGGCTATTACAAAAGTCTTTCTGTATTTCTGTTTGCCCGGATTTGGAGGTACTACATGGATTTGTCATTTTGTCATTATATCTAAAAAATATATTTTCAGACAAAAACCTTGCTTATTATTTTCCCATGAAAAGAAAAATGTTTGAGAAATTTCAAACGCAATGTTAGCAAAATTTGAGCAAATTTTATTCTGAGAAAACTAACTAATAAGGCACATTTAATTTTTGCAGGAAAGCTAAGCTGCTTCTAAATAATTTAATACATTTTTCACAAGTGCTTAAATTGAAACTGAATAATTATAAAGCCAAAAAAATTACACTGCACATTTACTCAAATTCACAGAGGTTCTTATTACAGCTAACCAAAAGTTAATCTTGGTTTGATTTATTTGATTAATGCAAACCATTCGACGATCAATGCAAACCATTCGATGCCCTCAGAATTGACTGCCTAGAGAAAACGTGCTTGCATAACCGTTACACATAGGAAAATCCCCGAAAATGGCCATGCAGTTTGCTCGTTCGTCATGATTTGAACCTCGGACTGAATTACCAGTTGTTCAACGATTTTACCACTCTACCGCTGCTGTGCCTTGAAGAGCTAGGATTGTAGCTGTGTAAGCAAACCGGTGTATAATGCGATAATTAAACTTGCTCTATGTCACCCTGTAGGTTGGAAATATAAACCGAAAAAAAGATAAATTTATTCCTTATTTCTGTTTTATTTATATTTTTAGTTTTTGTTTTTGCTTCTAAAACCATGTTAAATATTTACTTGCTCATTTGTGCTGTTGTTCTTAGAATGCGCGTGATTGTTCAACCTTAAAATAAAACCGTATTTATTATTATCCTCTTTGCAAAGTTATCTTGCTAAATTTCCTCCCCAAGAAAGACAATTCTCTTTCGTTTTTCCTTAATTTGATTTTAAATAAGGAAAACTAGAGTCTTTATTCTAATCCTATTGTAAAATCCTTTTATTATGGTACACTTATTGAATAACGGCTGTCGAAAGGAGAAGACCTAAAAATAAACTTTAGGTATAATTAAAATAAGCAGAATACACGATCTTTTAATTTGTATCCTAAAGATGAGAAAATATATTATTCAGTAACGACTTAACCAAAACTTCATTTTATTCTATAATTATAACCATTGCAACTAGGGAATGTTTCTGCTATACATTGTAAAGATTTATAAAACTTTTATTGCTTTTAATAACGGCATATTTACCTTTTTAAGTTTGCATTAATAAAAACATACTAGTACAGTTTTAAATATGAGGAGGTTCAAATAATAAAAAACGATAAAAAAGTTTTAAATTTCGAAAATTAAAAGTCTAATAAAATAAATTTAAGAGAACTGAGTAAAAAATAACAATGGGTAGAATTAATTTCAGCATAGCCTAATAAGATTTTATTTAAATATTTCCTTTTGATAAATTGACCGGATGAAAAAAAAACGAACATGAAATAAGTTAAATAACTTCCAAAACAGACAAAGGTTATCTTCATTATTTATACACTTAATGCTATTTAGCTAATTTTTCGGTTTTGACTTCATACTTCACAGACCGCCATTTTATTTTTACTCAGTTCGTTCCTCCGCATTTTATTTATCACAGACATCTCTTACTCTAAAACAAATATGACAGCCGCCTCTCCTACATACCAAAAGAATAAAGCATACTCTAGTTAATTATTTCCAAAAGAGGAGAACAAGGTGAAGGCATTTTATACTACCAAAGACATTTTTTACCTAGAAAAGGCTTGACAACCATTCCTGAAGACTTTGTTCAAATAGCTGTACTCTTGCAAGGCTATCCCCAAGAGTTTTCCTCATATGTACGCATCGCTCAGCTACGGGTATGTGTAGTTGCTAAAGGAAAAGCAGCTCTAGGCCTTGGCAAGTAACTAAGAAAACAAATTGCTTTCTGTGCCTCGCTGTGTCTCTTACTCAGTGCAAAATCCACAACAGGGACTGAAGGAGTACGTATTTGGCGAGACTTTCTTTTTTTTCCCCCTCTTCGAGTATTGCCACCTGGAAAAAAGTATTAAAAAAACGCTTTGAAGACGGGAGTAATTTTCCGAAAAGTGCAATAAAAGAAGATCTTCTCCTTTTATTATTTTTTATACCATTTTAAAATCCCGTCGGCAACAGCAAAGAAAGAAAGAGTTTTAATTTATTTAACAAAGAAGAGTTTTTATTATCAAATCAAGATTAAAAATTTGTTAAAGGAAAAAAAGAATGATTTTTTTAAAACTCTGACAGACAAAAGAGATTATTACGACTTACGCACTGTTGCCTTAATTGTGTAAAGTATAATCCTATTGTGTTTTAAAACATGAACCTCAATTCGAAATAATTAGATATGAAAGGTTTAACGCAAAGTTACGTTCTAAGAAAAATAAATAAAGAAGTGTGAATTATTATGTACCCTCCCCCCCCAAAAAAAAAGACTCTGTGTAAAAGTAGGGCTTAGAAAGGCAATATGTAGTTTATATGTTTCTTTACTTAGCTGATACTTTGCTATCTTTAGCATTATTTTCTTTTAAATCTGAAGGACCAGTCAGATGGAAAACTGAAACGGCACGACTAAAACATTTCCAGATGCGAGACGGGTAAAATACCGTGAAATTGTTAAAGTTGGAATTTGAATACAGAAATGGAATTCAGGAATTTCTAAAAATCATTAAGAGCGAAAGTTTATATACCATCTTTTATTGAGCTTCATTAAAATGCTATTAAGATTTACGTTTTTTTAACCATTGCGAAGTTTATCACAGTTCTGTGCTGATTTAGTCGATCGGCAATATTCCCCTATTAAGCTTATTTATTTTACTTTTTTAAGTCACATTTTGGCAACTTTTACAATAAATCAAAGTTCTGAAGATAGAAATTCCTTTAGGGAAAGTCTTTTCAAAATTTTAGAGAATTACTTTACCCCACCATGCACCTCAGAACTACACCAGCTATTGCCACTGCTCGAAACACTCTGCACCGCTGCACACCGGCACCTCTCTACCTACAGGTCATTGGTGACTAATGACTTTGACAATTATTGGTGACATACTGCTAAGTTTTATTTTAATAAGCTATTCAAATTTATTTTACTGTCACACACTGATGATATATATATATATATATATATCCTGAAAACCAGAGACTGTGAGCTTACAAATCATTAATGCCCCTGAATTTAATTTAACTTTAATTATCATCTGTCAAAATTCCTTTCACACTTGCTCCCAGCTTTAACAGACTAACGCTTTTAACGGTCCCGCTGTGATTCATTTTTTCTTTATAATTTACCTAATTGATACAATAAATTAAAATACATTTCCAATCTGCAGATTTTCTTAACATTTGAAACATAATTGCAATTAATGTTACATGCCTGGCCAAAATTACATGATTTTGATAATAGAAATTTTCCTTAGCGGAGTCTTTCTACATTTTGCGTAATTATCTACCATATAACATCCAATTAATTTGCTGTTATCCTTCTCTCGAACTTTCTTGGTAGCGTCAACGTGATCAAATAGAAGGTCTTTTAATTTACCTTGCTTAGAGACTTGCATATATCTTGTTCTCAGATTGTTGCCAATTGGTACAACACGGAGCCTTTATCGTGCAAATTTGATCTGTTTTAATAAACAGGTTAAATTGAAAGATAGTAAAACACTCATTTATATAATAAATAGGAATTAAAAATCAGTCGAATCACTTCTTAATTATTAAAAATTTTATTTAATTTTTAATGATTTAACAATCTGTATCTGGTAACTGAAATGTTATGTGAAATACTTTTGAAAAAAGCTGAAACTTATTAGCCGTCCATAATTGCGGTTGTTGAGAAAAATACAAAATGTCCTTAAATCTTGTTTCTCAAGCATTTTATTCATCGTGTAACATAAAACTATAAAAGACGAAAGCGGTTTTATGTCCTTGTAAGAGGTACAGACAGTTCCAGAATATATTTGACCAAATGTTTACGTAACATCTCTACGTTTGGACAGAATAAAGAATTTCATTTCCGAAACGGAACATAAAATGGATTTAAATTGGATCCAAAAGGAATTTTTTTCTTGACGTTTGTACAATCGAACTTACGCACGTATATATGTATGCATGCATATCGCATAACTCATATACGATTAGCCGTAGAAAGTTGAAATTTTATATCTGGGACTGCTATAACATCTAGTTGAGCACTTCGTTTTTTATTGTGGTCGGCAGATTAAAACCAACCCATTTACCGGACTTAAAAGTCCTTACCCGGTTTTTATTTTCGCAATCTTTGGTCATAGTCATATACTTCTAATTACGAAAGTGTTTTAAATAAAAACAAATATTCATGTTCTGGCAGTGTCAAATTTAAAAAAAAAATTACTTTTCCACAAATAACTAAATGAAACTTTTAATGCGGTCTTCCGTTTCCTATACTTATAATATGCGAAAGTTTTATACTCGTTACGTGAAAATAAAACCAGAAGAAGTCTGTCTGCCGTATGACAAAAATTAACATGTATATTTAATTTCAAAAATTTCAGTTTTTGATGTTATATTTTTTCTTTTCTTGAGAAAGCGGGGGATTAAGGTAGAATAATTTGAGAAAATAAGTGTAAATAAAATGAAGCAAAAATACGTATGATTTAATAGGCAGTACAAGGAAGTTACGTGTCCATATCATATTTTTGTTCTTAATATGATATCTTTTGGACTTTAACTCACTGAGCCTTATATCAGTCTCAGTGGCATACAGATAAAGCACACTACATAAGGTAAATGAGAGAAACTTCGTGGAGGACACGCTAATGGAAATTAGCTCGTATTCACATTACACATGAAAAATATGGAAACTATTCCCTGTTTGCCGGGATCTGAATGGGTCGATCCAACAGAGCTTTGCGATCTTTTCCACTCGGTGCCACTGGAAGAATTTTAAATATTATTTCAAACTGAAAAAGTGCAATGTAAAATCTATAAGTAGAGAAAGTTAATATTATGACGTTATGAAACCCTTTACAGAAGCAACGCACAGGAATACTGAAACTTCCTGTCAATTATATCTTTTTAAACTGTCAGTTTCGCGAAGAGTCGTGTAAACTGATGGCACCAGGGTGTTCCCTCCAATATAGCAATTTAAGATGCATTTTGGAGCCGCGAGTTGTACAATGTGTTATGTTTCGCGAATTTAGGATCATTGTCCTACTATAATAAATTCCATCAACGGCTGAGCGGAGAAGACCGCTGAACACTAGCAGCTTGATTCGGACTCCAGTCTACGTGAACGGCTGGCTGCAAAAATGTTATCTCGGTTTTTTAGGCTTCTATAATATGAATATGAACCAGCTTGTATCATGAAATCCTCAAGGTAAATATCCCTTTTTTCAGAAGAACTCTTATATGCGTTGCATCGGTCAATTAATAAAATCTCGAAGAATAATCTTTGGTATTTCAATATTTTTGTGGTATTAATATCAAATCCTCATTTTGTAAGATGTTAAAAGCTCGAAAATGTGCCACAATTCGAAAAAAAGATTAATAATCAATTTTGTTTATCTAATCTTGGTCCTTGCAGATCCATTTGGCCATCCTGATGTAAATAATATCTGTTACTCTGTCGGATTGTTCCTATTTTTACTTTTGCTGTAATTTTAAGGTACAACGTTTAATAAACGCAACACTATAAGGTCTCATTCATTGAAAAAACGTGTTGAGCGGCTGCAGATTAAAAATTTCATGACCTATCGTTTGGCTCACATAACAGCCTATGAGCTAATAGCCACAACATTAAAACAGCAATCAGAAAAAGTCTTTGAGGAAGAATTTCAGAATTTAAGATATTTTTCTAAATTTTGACACTAACTCCTTCTTTACCTCTCTTGATTCTGACTCGAAATCGTAAAGATGTAGATTTTAGAACTGCTCAGTATGTTTACCATGTCAAGTCTATGAAAACATGATTTTTGTAGTATGCTCAAGTCATATTTGCTATATTTTTAATCAACTGCTTTTCAAAATCATCTTGTTTAATAATACAGAATACTGTGTAGTATAAAGAAGGTGTTTATATATTTAGGAACACCTTCGCTTCATTCTTGCTTGCGGCAGTGTGAGAGCACCAATAACATTGCTGAAAAAACATCGTGGAGAAAATAATATAATTCGAAAATATCGTCGTGCAATATATCATGGGAGAAAAGAAAGGAAAGAAAATATAGCGATGTTTGAGAAGAAATGTGAGAAAAAAGAAGTGAAGAATTTCTGAGGCCAAGAAAGCAGAAAAGGATCAAGACCATTTTACTGCATAAAGAGTTGAGGAAGGAATTAATTAACTTATTCATTAATTTATTTCCAGATAACGTTTATGTGCTAGTAAGTGATATGTAAATTAAATGCGTTCTCCAAATTTAGAAATTATTATCTAAAACTTGCATATTATAACTCTGTTAGATAATGTTTCGGATGTCATATGGCTGAATCCCCAAAGCACATACAAATAATATGGTATGCAAATAATGCGCATAGCAACAGAACAGTGAAAACTTTTCAAATATCAGGTATTTTCTTATACAGGACGTGATCTGTATGTCGCGAGGGTAGTAATGCCGCCCGAAAATTTAAAGATTTTTTGAACTACGTGAGACTCAAAACTAGCTGCAATTAAAAGTTTAATTTTACAGAAAAAGTATAAAATCTATGCGATGACATAAAATGTCGATATTTTTTCAAGTTGTATTATAAACGTACACAAGTACGTCACACTGGTACCAAGAAAATAAATACAGACATATGTGATTCAATTTTCATTTACATTACAAATATGAATTAATATTCTGTAATTTAATATTTTATTTGTTGCTTTTAACATGTAAAATTTGTTGACTAGAATGTTTCAAAACATCGCTGAAGCTCATTAATGAAGATGTATTTGGGAGCCCGTAAGTTTTCCTTGTTATTGTTTCAGATGGCTTAAACTTGCAACTTATTGCATTCCCCGGGAATGGCCAATACCCGTCAATCATTTAGCCTCC